ATGTTTAATTCAGTCATTGAACTGAAAAGACCAATTATTAAACTGAAAAGACCATCATGCAATGAGATTAAAAGCTAAGAGATTTTAAAAAGAAGGAATAAAAAGAATTTTTAATATGAAAAAATATTAATAGATAATAAGGAGCTTATTATTCTCCAACAAAATTTTGTGGCATGATTCTTAAACTGTAAGAGAAGTGTAAAGAAGCAATACAGGAATACTTGCAGACAGCACAAAATTTTGATTACTTAGTTCCCCCTCTTGATCTCCAAGCCACTTCAAAGCGAGCCAAGCAATGTATTAAGTAGAGAGTACAGTGACTTGAAAAATTTCAGCATTAGTAAAAACAAAGAAATACACACCACAGAAGCAGAGATTAAATATTTATGTGTTACAGACAGCTCCAAATTAACAGAAGAAGGATCTTAGTACCAAAATACGGGACACAAAAATTCACACTATGCCACTGCAGAAAACAGACAAATCTTGGGATCCATAAGGAATGTTACTGAGCATTAATTTATAAAATAATCCCAGATGTCTGTGACTTGGGCTTCCTTGAGTGTCAAGCATGTAACATCACTTACAAGATGATGCTGCAGAGTAACAATCAGGAGAACAGCAAGAATAGGTAAGAGTATAGAAGAATGTTGACAAATATTATTTACCTTGGAAAATAGTTAAATCAAATGAAGGTAATAAAAAATATAAAATATAAAACTGAAATAGTTTATACGTTTCTACTGCCTTTGCATCATAACACCAGGTGAGAAAACTTTATTAAAGCCCAGCACTTTAAATGTTCTCCATGGAAGTATTTTTTTCACAGAATAAATAATCAGGACTCTATGGTCTATATGGTCTGAAGCATTGCTAAAACCAATACATCAGCAAAAATGTACTATGTTAGACATTTCTGCAAGCATATCCAGAATCCTCGTAATCAGCGTTATTAGCTGGAACATAAAGTCTCCTTTCCAGCCAGTCTCTAATTACTAAAACTCACAGTAGGCTTTCCAGGATAGCAGATCTGCCTACTGCAGCTTCCTCCCCCTCAAGATGACAATTTTCAGAAGATGAATATTAACAAAAAGCACTTGATTCAGCACCTGATTCAGAAAGCTGAAAGCAAGGGCCTACATTTTAGGTGTCCTGGATGACAAAGCTGCTACTGTAGCTAAGGGAGAATCAGTCAATAAATCATTGGAGTCTAAACTGAATTGAGCAATTACAGAAATCTGCTTTGAAGACCTATTAATTTTCTTTTAGATACCTAAATTTAGGGGCCTATAAACCCATCATCAAGTCCCACCCAGAAGTTAGAACAAGTTGAATCCCTATCCTGAGTATCACATAGTATGTTAACTCTCATATTCCTGGAGGGGACCTTCCAGAATGTCAGAGAAATTATTTCCTCTGTTACTCTTAGATGCAATTAGATAAAGCCAGCTATACAAAGTAGTGCCTCAAAACCAGTATTTTATCGTATTATTATTTTCCATCACATTTACTGTCAAAAAAACCCATAACTGAATTAAGACTTTCAAACAAAAGTTTGGATGGATTAAAATACAGGTGCTGCCACATGAAGCCTGTGCATTTAACACGAGACTTTTAAGACAGATTTATAGTAGCCCAGTGCATTTTATATAACCATGTGGCTCAACTACTGAGGGCCAGCATGCTTAACATCTACAGATTTTTTTCCTCAGCAACATGCATAGTTCTTCAGCCTCAAAAGCAAGGCAGAGGGAAAAAACTTAAGCCCAAATTTCACCAAAGATAGTTTCATTTTAAATCACAATCCATAATCACCTCTGTTGCCCTGAGGAACATTGTCTGAATATGCCTGTTCAAGAATCCTTTTAGTATTTTAAAATCCCTTCCCTTATACCTGTTAGAACAAAAGCACACCACCACTGCTCTGCAAGCCCACACCTGCACACCAGAGAACACTTCAGCCCCATTCGGTCTCAAATCTTGTTTTAAGAACAATAAAGAGGATTTGTCTAAATGCACTCAAGGTACCAACAAGCCTACTTGCATCCCTGCAAACCAAAATGAACACGGAATTACAGCTCTCAGCAGAACTGGTCACTGCCCCATCTGCTTCTGTGCAATGAGGGTGGGAGACTGATTCATGCCAGGAGCCTCCCCAAAGGGGTAACATGCTGAGCAGCTACACTCCTCTGGCTGTGCTGAGCCAACATAAACCAGCCCCCGAGGCAGAAGCAAAGTTCTGGGGGAAAACAGAGTACCCAATATCACTATGAGGACTCAGCACTCACCCACGCCACTGAACTGGCCATGGGCTGAGCAAACGCCCCCTGGGTTCCTGATGTGGCTGATGGACAGGGTGATGCAAATCTCTCACTGGCTGCTGGAATCTCTTCTCTCTCTTCCCATAGACTTGGGACACTAGTACCTAACAAGGCAGTTGGAAGAACCCAGCCTTGAGTGTCTTATATAAAGGCTCTGAAGTCAATGGACACCTTTCCTTCTAGGTTACCTATTAACCTCTAGGTAAGGATGCTCAGAACTACAAAACAATTATAAACTCTTAAAAGGCAAGGTTGTACACTAGAAACTAATTGCTAGAAGTCAGTTGATTGTTCACTGAAAGGTAATATCATCAGCAACAAGGAAAAAAATGAAACAAATTAGCTGATTAAAGTTTATCAGCTCTGTATTTTAATTAACAGATGTTATGTACCTCAAATTTTCCTTTAACTTCAACTTGTTTGCAGAGAGATAGCAAAAGCAATTCTGGTGAACAAACAGTGGCATTTAGTTACATAAAATATTCTGCAAGCTTGTGCATTACAAATAAACTCAACCTTAAATTTGTGTGTTATGACTAATTTTAGGACTTGAGTTTTATCCAAAATAAGAGCATGGAAAAACTTGACACACACACCTCTGCCTTCAAACAGACAAACTAGAAAGGGCAAAAGAAGGCAAAACAGTAATTTCTACAAGCTGGGAGTGGGAAATTGAGGGGACAGGGTGCGATCTAAGTGAAATGACAAAATTATTTTCAAACAAAAAATTAAAATATTTTTTAATATAAATTTGTAAAGGTGTGTTTTCCTGGAAAATTTGTCCTTTGGTGTATATTCCATCCACATCAGTTTGTGTTAAAAATATTATCTACTGGGACAAAGAAACAAGAGGAGTACATTAACTAGAGTAGGCTAAAGTTAAGAATTTAATTTTTGCTTTTTTTTTAACAAAGAGAATGCTAACAGATCACTTAGAACATAAATAAAAAGACCAGTAATTTTAAGAAAGGCAGAATCACCTTTTTAAGATGGAAGAAGATAAAAATGCAAAAAGAAAAGTTTCTTTTTATTTATAAGGAGTATTGCTGGAGAGCTAACCACCCACTCCACTCCCAGCCCCTGAGTCCAAGCCAGTGCAGACGAGGTCAGAGATGTCTCACTTCACAGAGCTGTGTTGCTGGGAGACCGGGTTAGGCAAACACAAAGAAAGAAGTCAAAAGATTAAGCAAGATGACGACTATTACCATATTTCACAGTCAAATCAGACGACTCTTCAATCCAGGAGAACTTTACATCCAAATAATTTTTCAAAATGAATTTAAGGACTCCTTAGAGAAAACACTGTTTGCCCTAAAGTACCTAGGACATGAAAATAAACAGTATCTCTGAAGCTGTTAAAGCTGTAGCCAGAGATTTCCTTTTTCACTACTGTCTTCCCTGGAAGTCTTGATACCAGAAGCAAAACATGATTTTGGTGAAGAATGGGATGCTGAATGGGCCTAAAGGATTACAAAGGATACCAAAACACCAAGTATTGAAAAAGGGAGGGGGGGGATGAGCAGGGGGGAACAAACCCCAAAAAAACCATCCCACTTTTCTGAAGAAGCAGAACTTTTAGGCAACAGAAAGAACCTTTCCAAAAGACAGGCTAGTACCTTACACAGCCACCACCTCACCTGAGACTTTCTGTCAAAGTAGTTTTTTTAACTGCATTCTTAGTCAGTAAAGCAGCTTAGACTGACACAACGCACTGGGCTGTCAATGCCAACACGAGCACATCTTTGAAGTGCTCTGACTGCTTCAGCAGCTGCCTGGGAGGTACCACAGCAAAGAGAAAATATGAACCTCTCATGAGGCTTGCATTTGACTGCTTTGGAGAAGGAAGACTGGTAATATGAACTAATATTGGTCACCTGGGGAATTAAAAATGTTAGGAAAATCAAAAATTAACCTTTTAATAGAGATATGCAGTTAAGGAATGTCTCTAGAAGAAGAAGCCATTACAGTTAGTGGAACATCTTAAGATATCCTTCAAAAGGACAACTTCACCAATGGTATTCCTCATAACCAACTCATGTTCAAGATCTTTTTTTTCCAAAGGCTAAGAATCAGCAGAGGAACTGTGTCAGACATTATCACTTAGTTCTAACAGACAGCTGAACAATAAATGAAGGATCATTTGTGTAAAAAACACCCGTGAACTCAGAGAAATAGTCCAGTATTATTATATAGAACAGTACTCTATGTTCTTACAGCAGCATCAGAATCAAGGTACAACTGTAGGGACAGCTTTTCCATGTGTCTTAAAAACATATATAGATATGATTGGCAGTGAAAAAAGTAAAACACATTCCAATATAGGAAGAAACCAAAAATGTTAAGAAAATTAAAACAAAAACACAATTACATTTGATTTAATTCAGCATGTCACCTCAAAGAGAAACTATAGCACAAACCCATAATAAGCACTAAGTACTGAATCTTGTGTTTTTGAGGCCTTCTATCATCATCTTTTGAAACAACTGTCATCTCACATTTCTGCTCACTGAAATAAAATGCTGTATAGCTGACATGGTATTATTCTCATACATTAAAGCATTTCCAAAAAAAGACATTTTATTTCCAAACAGAGGAAAATAAGCAACTGAGAAGATCCTTGATTTTCTTAGTAACAGTCTATCCACAGCCTTCAAAAACAGTGTTAAAATTGTTCCATACCGTGAAGCTGTTGTTGACATTTTTTGTGCTTGATTCAGCTACACTGGCATCTGACAGGTCAACTTCATCAAATATTAGAGACTGTGAAGGGAAAAGAACATAGAAGCATTAAATTAAGCCTGGGCCCACTTTCAGCTATGCTTACAAAATGTGCTTTAATTTCATTGCATCTATTCCAATTACAAAATAAAAATAGAAAATAAAAGTAGCAAAAAAAATAGAACACACTGATGATGTGATAAAATTTCATAATTGGCCCTAAACACAGTCCTTGCTATTCTAAATGGTACATGAGAGCATAAAAAAGGGCTCAATAATCATATTGCTTTAAAATCTCTTTTAAAAGAAGGGGTTTTTTTTACATGAAGCTTTAGAGTGTCGACTGTGCAGCATAAATGCAGTGTCAGAGGAAAGAGATTCACACACAGCAAAATGTAAATTAATTATTTAATTTTAGGATGGAACCCTAAAGTCACATAGGAAGCTATGATATAGTATCCATATGAGAAGATGCATCTCAAAGGGCTGAACTGATCCCCTCTACTCCTTTGTCTGATGTTCAAACATGAGAAATTTATGTCTACTCTAAACACTCCAGCCTCTGGAAAAGGATCAATTAGGTTTTGTTATGCTAATGATGGGTTTTGTAACACAGAAGAGCAGTCCAACAAAAATGTCTGGTTTTTTAGCCCTAACATATTTTTCTTCTTCCATGCCACAGGGAGGAGAATCAATACTGGGGGAGTTTCAGCATGCCTGGATTCAGCATGCCTTTGAGTATCAGCACAATTGCCTACTCGTATCCTCTTTTCTCATCTTTATCATAGAATCACAGAATGGTTTTAGTTGGAAGGGACCTTAAAGATCATACCTCCAAACCCCCTGCCATGGTCCAGGTAGCTCAAAGGCCCACCCAACCTGGCCTTGAACATTTCCAGGGACAGGGCATCCACAGCTTCTCTGAGCAGCCTGTGCCAGGGTCTCACCACCCCTACAGTAAAGAGCATCTTTCTGCCTAATATCCAGGTATGGATATTATGGCTCCTCCTTCAGTTTAAAGCCATTCCCCATTGTCCTATGACCATGTGCCCTTGTAAAATGTCCCCCTCCAGCTCCATTTTACCTCTTCTAGGTACTAGAAGGCTGCTGCAAGGTCCCAGATCTGTCAGTCTGTCTTCATAAGAGAGGTGCTCCAGCCCCCTGCTCATCTTTGGGTCTCTCCTCTGGACATGCTACAACAGTTCCATGGTTCCCAAGACAGCAAGGGCACAGACCTCTTGGAGCGAGACCAACAGAGACCCAAAATATTCCATACTCCTCATCTAACATGGTAGGCTCACATTTTCAAAACATCTCAGCATCGTACTGTGATTTGAGGTTGCCTTTCTCAGAGCTCTTATCTGCCATGCTTATCTTGTATATAAACTGCTCGTGGTCTCACCGATTGCTGAGAGGTTTGACAACAGAGCTCCTGCAGAGCTGGGCTCCCTGAAGCAATGGTGCTTTTCTTGATTCATTATAGCTACACAACAGTGCGCTGAGAAGCTGCAGTCCTACAGTCCCACAAGGAGACATCTCTGTGCCTTTACTTAGAGTTTTGTTGAGAAAACAAGGCTACAGAAGATGATGGAGACATGAAGCACCTCACCTACAGCTTCCATGAGATGCTGCAACCCCACAGGGTAAAGGAGAGTAACACCCACAGCTATGTAACAGCACAATCTGAGTCAGTCAAAATGCTCTTGGCCTCAGCCTTGGGAGGGAGGAAGGAAATGCCTTTCAAAGAGAAGATAAGTATTCCCCTCTGCCCACCCCCAATTCTCCCACCAAAAAAATTCAATAGATGGGAAACAGCTTTTTCCCTTATATATCAGTTTTGGCAGAAAATCAGCCTATCTTGATTTCACGTAAATATTTCTATGGGTATCAGAGCAGAAGAGTTTTAATAGAATGCAGCCTTAGTGATAACTTTTAAGCATTATCCAGTTATTACTTTTTTGACTATCTGAGAGCCACAAAAAACCCCACAACTCCTTAAAATGTCTTTATTATTTGTCTGAATAGACAAAAAGGTTAAAATAACTGTGATAAACTTCATACGAAAAAAATCAGGAGATATTACCAATCTCTCTTAAAGCTAATTTAACCCATTATATCCTATATACAGCAGTTTTTACATAAAACATTTGTGAACTAATAATTAAATTATTATTATTAAACTGATTAAATGTATTAAACTTGTAAACCTAAACAAAAAATGAAGTTACAAGTAAATGGCATTAGACACTAGTAGCATAGAATTACCTTTGAATCCTTAGCATAGTAAAGGGTACGACCTCGAAGTTTGAAATAGCGCTTTTTCCACCTCTGAAAAGAGCTGGTTTGCTTCAGTAGTAATCCTTCTTTTATACTTGTCTGAAAAATATTAAAATATAGAAACATGTAGAAACAGCTACAACAGAAACAACACATATAAAGTTATGATTTTTTAAATTTATGTTACACCTCAATATAACTGTGAATTTAAACTTTATTTATTCACATTAAATAGACACTAATTCTTCAGACCACCAGTTTTTGCATTGCTATTTTTTAAATAATTACAAAGTTGACAAAATGTTAATTTTACATGTAAACTGCAGAGGCAGTCAAGAGGCATATAATTATTCTGAAGATACACACAAAATAATTCAATTGTCTGGATAGCTGCAAAGCCACAAATATTAAACTGATGGTGGCACAACATGGGAAAAAATACTAAAACCATCAACAGAAGGTAATTTCCAGTTCCAAAACTGATTATGTTGAGGAGAAAAACAATTTTCACACCAATACTAATTCAACAGGGTACTTAAATATGTCTGATTCAAGCACAAGAATGACTTTAAAATAGAGGGAATAATCCAGTTTGATGCAAGTCATGCAAGACTTTGAGTGTGTTGCAGAATTGAAGCCTTCATCATGAAATCAGCTAAGTATTAGAGATAATTATTATTTGGAAAGTGTGAGAGCCATAACAGATAGGGATATTTTTACCATGTACATCTTTTTAGGCAAAAAATTACTCACTGATCCAAACCTTTCCACTGCATACTGAATCCTGTTTATATAAATCCCATTTTTAAAATGAGTAAGAGGCCAATTAGTATATTTTAAAGATGTGTGCTTTTTGCACCAGTGTGTATGGGATTCATCCGATTAGAGAAATTCTCCACTTAATTAGACAAAACTACAGAAACACAGAATAATAATTGCACGAGTCTCAAATTTTCTTCAGTGGTGAAGCACACAAGATGTAGGAAAAAGAGCAAGTATGTTTGGCTATTATATTGCAAAATTACTATTTCCAGAACATTTCCCATTTGTAATGTTATAACATGGTAAGAATCTTATAATACAATTTCTGGATAATGTGGGACAAACATCATTTGAAGTTATTCTAGAGCTTCTGGAAACTTAACCAAGACCAAAAGTTTATAAACATCTTCTATTATCAGATGTGAAATTCTCTTGAACTTTAATGCAAGTAATAAAAACACAGAAAAAGCAGAAAGCACTTTACTGTTCCTACCATTTCCTCGAAATGAGAAACACTGCTGTTATGTACAGAGATCCCAACCTTAATTTAGATAGCCCTAACGTCACAAACCAAAAATGTGGTCCAACGATCACAAAGCAATGGAATTAATGCCCTCAAAAAAGCAACCCTCTCCAATCAAACACTGTAGCTGAAAGTTTAGATTTGTCAAAGTTTCCTTCACATGCCAACGCCTGGACCAGTGGATTCAGTCTCAGCCCTACTGCTCTAGCTAAGGGATAGCAATTCTCAGTGGAAAGGGTCTGCTCACCAAACCCCATTTTAAGACACTTTGCAATTTTATGATCAGACCCCAAGATAAGCTAGTTTTCCGTGATATAATTAGATTTAATCAGTTAGCAAATACAAGCACTTCTTCAAAGTTGTCTGCTGTAGCCATGCAGCACCTGTGCTTCATAGCATGCTCTGAGATTTTGGAAGCTCATCACGAGTATGGGAGCAGACGACTTGTGTGTTTCTCAAGGGTCAGAAGATGCTAAGACTAGAGAAATTCAGTTCCAAGGAAATGGTACTCCACATTAATGACAGACACTGACTTACTGCAAAAATTTCCTAAATGGAAGGAAATCCACACTCCCTAAAGTGCACTAGGTATTGTAGGAGACACAGAACATATATTGTGCTTAATACTTTTGCGAATTTTAAACTCTGTTAAAAAAACATAACACTCCCTTAACCTTGATGTATTACTCATGAAAGAATTAGTTAAGTCTTTCTTGTCATTTTTATGCATACTAAACCATTGTCTCCTACTTACTCCTTAAACACCAATATCCCTAATAATAAACCAATACCTTCAAAATTACATCTATTTTGAAAGTCAGACATTTGAAATTAGCTTCTTAATGCTGGCAGTAAATAACCTCGCAGACTCTACAGAATTTATTTTTGCATAATTTTTTTTTTTAAATCTGGTCAACATTTACTCAAGAAGTAGAAGTACTTAATGAAATTTACATTTTACCAAAAATAACTACATTGGGCTGAGGTTTGACCATCTTAAATAGAAAAATCCCTGGCTGCAGGCATCAAAACTGAGCACAAAGCTTTAGCCCAATATCCTTAATTAACTTTATTTAGATGCTAAAATGTTTAAAATTCCATCTGCCAATGAGTCATTAAGTAATCTGCTAATAATACTTTCCTGAGTCTATACCAAGTAAGGGCCTTTCCAGTAATTTGAGATTGGAAGGGACCTCCCAGGTTGTTGAATTTGGGTCCTCATTATTTCCTAGGCACAGGTCATGTTAAGTTTTTCAAAAGCAATGATCAGGCTATAACTACACCTTAAGAAAGTAGTTATTTTTCTTCTCCCCATGGCAATTAAGACAGTGCTGCAAGATCTCACTGTTCTGAGAAGCCTTTTTATAATTAATCCCAGCTGGACATTAAATCTGAAGCATAAGCAATAATCACTCCAATTACATTAACTTCTTTCCTACTGTAATTTAGGAGAAACAAGAAGTACAGATCCCACAATCCCACACTACTTTTCACTTTTACAGAACTACCTCCCATCAGCTTGCCAAAACCTCTGAACTTCCCCATCCTGCATCTCATGTCATCTAGTAATACAATGTCCCTCCAGAAGTATAGAACTATAATTAGAACAGAATAGAACAGAATCCTTAACAATCTTTACTATTTTAGCCATTAGTAAAGAAAATTATTGCCACTATTACAATCACAACATCACAGCGTTCCACTGGGGTATATCTTGCAGAAGAAATCTAATTATAAAAATCACAGCCATTTTTCATAAAATTAAGGAGTACATATGTGTTCAATTATCCAAGAATGTCAAATGCAACTCTGCAACTCCAAAATCTCAACAACAACAAAAAAAAATTGGATTTGGGGGTATACGGATCACTAAAAATGAGAAACATCCTCTTTTTTATCAGCAGATTTTATAGTGTCCAGTATATAATACCTGAAAAGTCAAACCAACAATTTTTATTTAAAAGAAAACCAACCACATTGCCTTACTTCTAATTCACTCATTTTGTAAAGCCCCACATTTCTGCAAAGGTAAATTTTTTACTTCTGCTGCTGCCAGAAAGACAGAAAGAAAGGAGAAAATATTCTGAATTTAAAAAATAATAAACTAATTGTGAACTGATTATTGGCAACTACAAACTAAACCACTACATGATTAGTCTACCCTCTACTTCTTTTCATGTAAATAAGTGGACATGCTGCACAAAATGTATCAGGAGACTGAATAAGAGAACATGAGGAAATTTCTGAAAGTGAAGAGGATGAAAATGAGAACAGGAAAGGCCATAAAACAGGGCAGCCAGATGCAAACAGGAAATTAGGACCATGAAGAAGAATTTTAAGATAACCTTGCAATAGATGCTCATGCTGAGACCAAAATGTTCATAAAGCTCTGAAAGATGAAACACAGCTAGCAGGTTGGCAGGATAATTTTCCAACAGAAGTGTGAGAAGGGTACTCAAGGATGAGAAGGCTACAGGAAAGAAGCTTATCAAATCCTTGGCATCTGCCTTTACCAATGAAGATGATGAGGTACTATCTCACACAGCATGTTCTCCACAACATCAGAACAGCTGCATGGACATGGAGGGCACATATGGAAGTAGTAGACCAACCAAATCACTAAGTCATGTGGGCCAGGTGGCATTGAACTGGGAGCCCTGAGGGTCCCAAAAGGACCACTGATACTAACATTCACTCCTGGCAGGACAGTGGAGTCCACACAAAAGAATATTGCTGAGCCCATACGTATCCAATCAGAAAAAGTCAACAAAGCTTTTGTGAAGGAAAATACTGCCCTGCTACCTACCATGTGTTCAGGAGGTGTAGAGGAAGACAAATAGATAAATTAGAATCCTGTAGACCTGGATTTTCAGAAATCCTTTGACAAGGCTTCCCTCCAAAGAATACGGAAGAAATTTTATTAGAACTAAATTGGGAAAAGGGGCACGGTGGGAACTGAAAGCTGTTTCAAGGAAAAAGCTAAACCTCATTAACATCCTCACATCAACTTCGAATAAAGAGATCTGTGAGTCACAGTTCACAGTTTTCTAAGCTCAACCACAGCCAAAAATGCCATGCAATTTTGCCTATCACTAAAAAAAGCAACAAACCCAAGACAGAATATAATTTTGCTGCTCTATAACACTGTTGTGTCAGACAGTCTGCTCTTTCTAACTCATGAAATGGGGTTAAGAGAAGATACAGAGAAGGACAACACAAATGATTCACAGAACAGTAGCTGCCTCACAACACGAGAGACTGAAGAGCAGAAGACCAAGGGGTGATATGAACAGCGTTTAAAAAAGTGTTAAGGAAAAGTAAGCTGACTGAAGAACTATAGCTCACCAAAGCCCACAACATTATAACACGGAGGAATGCGACAAAACTACATTGAGATCAGCTTAGCAAAGATTAAAAGTAACACATCTTTACACAGAAGGTAGTGATTTTGTGAAGCTTGCTGGCACAAGAGATTGTACAGGCAGACAGCATCAGAAGCACAAAAAAAGAATGGACAAATTCAAGAACAGTGTAGCTGTACGTGGTCCCTTTAATTTGCCATAAGAAAGTACCATGGGAATGCACCAGACTCACATGCTGCTCCTGAACAGCCTTTTCTATTCCACTGCTGAAAGTGGATTATTGTGCAACCAAGCAAAAAATGTCACAGGTTGAGTTTCCACTGTTATGTAGACAGCATCTCTTTTGCTTTCAAGTCTGATGTTCGTATTTGCAAGTGGGCCTAGGCCTTCACTTACCATAACAATGAGTATTTGGATTCTTGACAGACCAGGCAATTAAAGGAAAAAAAAAA